TGAAGTCCACTGTCATCCACAGGACCAGCTGCTCAACCTCCCGTCTGTAGGCTGACTCGTCACCGTCTCGGATGAGACCAACATCAGATGGGAGAGCACACATCCCTGGGGGGAACCGGTGCTTATTGTGCAGGTGCTGGATGTGGTTTTCCCCAGCCTCACCTGCTGCTTCCTATCTGTCAGAAAGCTAGTAATCCACTGACAGGTGGGGGCAGGCACAGTGAGCTGGGTCAGCTTGGAGTAGAGGATGTCCGGGATGATGGTGTTGAACACTGAGCTGAAGTCCACAAAGAGGGCCTGTGCATAGCTCCCTGGGGAGTCGAGGTGTTGCAGGATGTAATGCAGTGCCATGTTCGCTGCATCGTCCACTGACCTGTTTGCCTGGTAGGTGAACTACAGCGGGTCCAGCAGGGGGTCTACGATGTCCTTCAGGTGGGCCGACACCAGTCTGTCAAAGGACTTCATAACTACAGATGTCAGGGCGACAGGTCTGTAGTCGTTCAGTCCACTGATGGGGGTATTCTTGGGGACTGGAATGATGGTGGAGCGTTTGAAGCAGGAGGGGATCCTTTGTGTTCAGCATTCCATAGTTTAAGCCCTAGGTCAGCAGGGTGCCCCATGTGTTGGATCTTTTAGGTTACTGATTGGTAGACATTTCATCTCTATAATTAATACAGATTCCGAGAAATGTAGGTTCTGATGGAGCACTGAAAGGTACTGAAATGTTCTTAAGTTCTCAATCTGTCCCAGTACTCTTATATTTGAGTTCTTGAGCTGTGGCAGACAAATATCAAGTTCAGTGCATCCCCTGTGAGGTCTCTGTGCTGGCACACTGAGTAGCTGTGATACCAGATGATTAGACGAGATCAAACTTTCAAAACCCTTGGGGAGACACTGGGTCGTTGCAGCAGCTACATAACAGTAGAACTGAGATTGAAGATCTTACCTTTGAGTTGAGATCTCTGTGATAAATGTTCTTGTAGTGCAGGTAGATCATTCCTCTGCTTACGTCACAGGCCAGGTCCACCTTCTCTCTCCAGCACAGAGAAACATCTTTCCTGGCCAGAAGCTCCTCCAGACAGCCACCATTTACATACTGAAACAGCCAAGACAAAGACTAGAAAAGGCACAGTAACTGCATGGACAATATAGCAACACCCGATTATGTGTAATGTCTTCTTCATATATAGAGTAATGACTAACTCCACCTTCAGATTAAGGTCAAAGCATTACATGTCACTGTGTGCCCCCTCTCTCCCGTAGTGTGTCCTCTCTCTCTCCCTGTACCTTTCTGCAGGTAGCCCTGGCTCTGGAGCTCTATGTGGCTGATGAGCAGTCACTGGCCACATCAACCTGACCAGTGTGTGATTGTTTGTTGTGTCTTGTTGCTTTTCTTTCTCTCTCTCCTCTATCCACTCACCCCAACTGGTCAAGGCAGAAGGCCGCCCACCAAAAGCCGGGGTCTGTCGGAGGTTTCTTCTGATAAAGGGAGTTTTATCCTCCTTGCCATCACCAACTGCTTGTTCAATGAGGGTTTGTAGGTAGGGTTTTTCCTCTATGATAATATTAATAATAGTAAGGTCTAGGCCTTACTCTGTAAAGTGTCCTGAGATTACGTTTGTTGTGATTTGGTGCTATACAAACCAAACTGAACTGAACTCAATTGAATAGACTGAAGTCACAAGTGCAAATACTGCTGGACCCAGGTCTGGTTAAACAATGATCACCTTACTCAACCACCTTTTCAGTATCACTATCAGTTCCCATTCGTATAATCTGCTGTATTTTTCCACACCCAGAACAAAGTCAGCCTGTGAACATGCACAGCAATAATGACTCAGGTGACAAACAGAACAACCACAAAAGAGCAGGACTCACCTCTAAGATTGGATAGAGCTTGTCCTCTTTTACACAGATTCCCAGATACCTGGAATAAGAGGAAATACAAGTGTTATTTCTGTCTCATCAAGTTAATGTTGTTTAAAATACTAAGGTATATGGTGTATTTTAATCTTGTTTATTAAATCAAGCTAATTAAGACATTGATCCCTTAACAAAATCATGGTCTTCTTAATTAAGTGATCAACGTGAGCTAATAGTCACCACATTTTAAACAAAAACTAACTTCATTTATACTCAGAACACAGAACATTAGTCCAATTCTCAATGCTTTCTGCTGTGGCAGTCACAAGTTGATTTGTTCCCACTGAAGACCAGCACATGTACAGTAAATATACTGTATGTGATGTACATTTATACACATAAGCATGTATTAAATAAAAAAAAAAGTTACAAATATACAGTTACAGTTTATGCCCTGAGCTCTTACAGTCGATGTAGAACAACTACAGCACCTGCCTCCAAAATCAGCAGCCTCCTTGACTCTGCAAGAATGCCATTTTTTACGTACGAGTTACATCAGAGTACGTCAGGATCAAGATGCACAGAGAACTAACTGGCATGAAATCACTGGTGATTGATTCTGGGCAGAACTGGCTTATCTCAAAAAAGCCGTGTTTATATCAAAAGGAATGTTGCCCAAATGATATGGCTGTGTCTACACCATCTGTGTGGAGTTTAAACTACATTATTGTAAAGTGTAAGATATGGCTGTTCTTACTGTAGAAGACTATCACCAGGAGGCGTATATCAGCATTAATGATCAACAGACAACATGCAACTTATGTACTTTATATGAAGCATATAAAGGCTGTTAACAACTGTTTTGTCCAAATTCCACCACCATGTCACGTTTGCTGAAGGAGGATAAAATACACTGGACCTTGTTCACAAGTTGTTGCTGCTCACTCTTACACTTAAGACTGTCATGTTTTTGTGTCTGTCCTGTGTTACACTGAAGACCATGAGGAAAAACATTCTGTTTTCTTTTAAGTAAAAACAAATGTGTGCAAATGACGGTAAACCTGAAGCTGAACTAAGGTACCGGATACACGAACAACACTTGTTAATAAGAGAATATAGAAAATATGAATTCATTATTGGTTCTGGCCTTTTTGGGATTTGTTGAGAGTAAGAAGTAGTGCAGGGGCAGGAATATATTAAACAACACACACTGAAATGTGTGAACTTTTGCCAAGTAATTAAAACATATTTAGATAATATTTTATTTAACAATAATTAAAGTGTTTCAGCAGGTAACCTTTACCTTTTTAGGGCAGGTAACCAATTTATTTATTTAAGGCAAACATCTTATACCTTTATCACCATAGCTAACATTTGAACAAAGAATAACTGAATACTGATATTGCATCCTGAGAACAATGGCTTCAATAAACACCGTGCACACACACGGTGTGTTTGGCTTAAGCCTACACAGGTTGGTGTGTACCAGGTAGTAACAGCATGACCTCAGCAGATACAGTAAGCTGTTCTGTGATAAATGTACTGCTGTGACCTTGCTAAATGGCTAAAATAAGATTGCTTAGCCAAACACTGTCTGCCTGGCTACATACCTGATGTAACTCCTGTTGACAACAAGCACCATGTTAAACAATCAATGTCTCATTTCATGTGACTGCAGCTGCAGCACAGTCACCCACTGCAAGACAGAGCTTCAGTCATGTTATAAGTACCAGCTAAATACTGTATTGTACATGAAAGTTACTTGAAATTTTTGACACTAGTTTCTCTTAAATTATCTGAATTTTTAAAGCTTCTCTAATCAATAACTGCCCACTTGTAATGATTAACTCTGCAGTTTCCATGAGTTCTGAGCTTTTTAGTGTTTTTCAGCTCAGTTTTAGTTTTACAACCCATAACTGTCCTGTTTTAGTTCAGTTACACCACTTGCATTATTTTCATCAGCACTGTTTTCTTCTAAAGAGAAAGAAACCCTTCTAATGCACTGGCCTACCTACCAGTGCCAAACAAACAATGTTTAGTAGGCTAGCTCCTACAGAGCCAGATATTTTTCTCAGGAGTTGGTGAAGACTAAAACAGAACCAAAAGAGCATGGATATAGGCCGTGCATTCATCAGGTGGACAGAAACCCAACTTGAAATGAATGCCAACATTCCTCTGCGTCTGTTGGATGTAGTGTATATGTAAACTCCTGATTGCTAATGCTTTTGGTATATCAAGTTTAAAGGCAATTAGAATATTGTTCTACTTATTCCATTGGTACAACATAGCCAAAAAAGAAAATCCACTTTTTTTTATTTATTTACATTTTATGACCTGCCATATTTTTAATATATTTTCCTATCACTTGAGACAGCCTTTGGTTTCTATTCATTACCATATAGCCTAAAAATCAAACAGCAGACAGCAACATCAAGTCTGTGCTGAGTTTTGTCAAAATTATAGCTGCGGAGTACAGCAGTAAAAACTTCAAATCCTTCATCTTCTCTGGCACAACTTCACCCACTGCCAAGGTGCATAGATGAGGGAAAATCAACCGAAAGGGGCAAAAATCCGGCAACACTTGTAGTGTATAGAACAACTTTAATGCAAGGCTAATGCATTTTGGTGTTTTAGAGAATAATACTGATGCACAGCTCCTTTTTTTGAGATTTGTATATGGTCATATGGTTGAAGATAGAGTTTCTAAATATTGTCTCTCATTGAATTACATGGTATGTGGAATTGCCCAGAAATATGTACACGGTGAATGTTTTTTTCCAGTAATTATCAACATAATAGAACGGTATTGCCTTTACAGTACTGCTCTCTAAATATGGTATCCATAAATATTGCTACTACAGATAAGACTGTGAAGTTCAGATGCAGGGAAAAAAGGAGTGACAGCAAGAATGTGATGTGTGGGAGGGTGCAGAAACTGTAGCAACATAGAATGGAGACCGAATCTGTTGTGAGTTGGTTTATTTTGCTGTGGGAGAATTTAACCCATTAGACGAAGCACATAGGCTTCAGTATGAAGCAGAGGTTGAACTGACTGCTACCTGACAATGTTGGGGTGCGAGAGTTTCTGCAGCAGGCTGATCTCTCGTACTATGCTGTCTTGGTCCACATCGTTTTTGTAGATCTTCACCACCATCACTTTCTGACTGGTGCTGTGCATCACCTGAAAGATACAGGTGTCTGTTAGCGGCAGAGACAGTGGAAGTAGAAGCAGTCTCTCATCCCTTCTACAGCCTATTCATTTCATCATGAACAAGTGATAAATATCCGATATCCCTGCTCCAGCACTCACATTCACCTTAAGAGTTATGTAAGGTCTCAGCTACTAATGAGCATTATATCCCCATGGTCTCCAAAGCTAGTGGGCCAATCACAGAATGGTAAGAATGTCCCAATTAGTGGCTGAAACAAAGCAGGCTCTGATGGCAGTTCACATGTAGGCTGGCAACAAGGCAAAACAGAAGAAATACCTTATAGACTTTGGAGAAGAAGCCACTCCCAATTAGCTCAGCTGTAAAGTTTTCCCAGAACTCCAGTTTGCGGACAGTGGTACGGAGCTTTTGCCAACGGTCCACATGGTAGTACTTGTCTGAAGACTCACCATACAGGGTGGGACTGGTGGGCTCTGAGGAAACATCCACATCACACATCCTGGAGATGTCCGCTGGGATAGCAGAGACATGTAAGAAGAAAAATCTGCTTTATTTGTAATGAACCTCCCAAACATAGTTTACCAAGTATTTATGAGCATTTCATAGCTAGGAATGAGACACCATGACAGAGGGCTCTAGTGGGATTAATGGGCTCCGGCCCATTGTACATAGTCGCATGTGCGTTGTACAGTAAAGCCAGCAGTGTGGGTTCATGTGGTGTACAGGCCACACAGCTCCTACATAAAAGACAGTTCTGACTCCTGACTCAGTCTGTTATTTCACCCTTCATTACCCTGCTATCAGAAATGAGATCTGACAATGTCGTCGCTACAGGAGTATGAAGAACTTCTCACTGAGCAGAAGCAAGACGGGGCACAAACCTGAGCTAAAGTCCCCGCCACTGCCGGGGGATTACCTGCCACCACACTGAGAGCCCACCAAAGTCAGGTCACTGATGGAACTAATGCTTCCTACTGGACATGCTGCTGTGTCGGATCGCCAAAAACACAGCTTCACCCAGACGACAGCATGGGGCTAGGAGCCAGCCAGCGAGGGGTCGCGAACCTGCCACACTACAGTGGCGAAGAGCCACTAGAGACATTTTTCATACAAGTGCACAAACAGCGCGGGTGATCAGCTGGTCAATGGAGGAGACAGCCGACTGGGTTGTCTTCGCCCTGGAGGACAGGGCTCTGCAGACCTTTACTGACCTTTAGATACATATATATCTGGCCTTATATGTGTGTCGTGCTATAGATGACAGAAAGAATGAATTAAAAAAAAGAAATAATAAAAATTATATAAATAACTTTATACACATCTATGCTCAATGCACATCATTTTCATTTCAGTTTTTTTTATTAGCCCTCGTCCAAAATGAGATTCTGCCTATATTATGTCTCTCGAGCACAAACACCACTGGACAGTGTCTGTGCTCAGTGAGTAGCCGTGCTGTCCATCAGCCCCCATCTCTATTTTAAGCCTCACATTATTCAACATCTTTGTTTCACTCTGTATACTGGAGGCACTTTCCATAATCCATGCAGCTAATAAGTGGGAGATTGAAATTTGCGCTTTTGAGAGCTCCTCTTTCATCCAAGGTTGTTTTCATACTGTTAAATATATCAGTGCCTTTTTGGTTGCCACACTGTCACGCAGAAAAAAAATTAATTCTCACAGTCACTCAAAAAAAAAAAAACAAGTTGTTACACAACAATAAGTTAACAGTGGCTGGCAACCTTATTACCAAGTAATGTACATGTTCTTACAAAGAAAATTCTGCAATGTAAAAATCACAGACAACACTGAAGAGCAGAGGTGAAAAAAACTCACTACATTTACTGAAGTACTGACTTAATATAATTGAGGTATCTTAAGAGTTTTCATTTTCTGCTACTTCATACCTCAACGTCACTACATTTTAGGGGCAAATATCGCACTTCTTACTGCACTACATTAAAGAATCTCAGTACTTCTTCTGCCACTGCTGAAGAGTGCCTTTAAATGTATTTGTCAACTTCAATCATAAACCTTCTTCTTCTACTTTCTGCTGTTTCCGTTAAGCAACCTGCCAGATTTAATATTACCCAAAGGAGAGTCTTCACTGTGTAAGTACTGTACATTATGGACAGAGGGGTGTTAACTTGAGCCTGACCACATCTGAAGCTATCAGATTTAAATGGTTTCTGTACTTTGACTGTATGTAAAGTAGGCTATTTGGCTGAATCCCTGCTGAATCAGACAGGACATTACAAACATCACAATGATGAGTTAAACACAAGTCAGACTCTATAGCAGAGTTACTAAGTCTCCATTAGCTTCCATCGTTAGCTACAACACTGTTAGCTTTAATTCCAATTACAAAACAATATGAAAACTATCCCTCTGTCTCACAACACCAACAACATCATAACTATTATCAACATGTACACAACTTTACCATACCTCATGGAGTATATTAAATAAGGGAACTAAAGAGGGTAGAAGAATGAGACATCTCGCCATACTGAGTGTGATAAAGAAGCCCAAGCCACTATGGCACAATCAGCTGACTGATGCATAATTATTATCAGACAGAAAAACATGCATTACATATTTACACTTATTCAAAGGCATGAAACCGCTCAACACAGCTGCTGTGTGAGAGCACACCTTAAGCATCCCAATGGCCCCCTCACCGCTGCCAGGCTTCCACGATCTCAACACAAAACCAGGTGATGTTGGAAGAAACAAATTCTACAAAGAGCTGAGGTAAATATTCCGTTGGGTGATAATTATCTGTGGGACTGTCATTGTGCTTTACCCTTTTTCAGATTAAGCAGTCATTTGTATTTATTGTTATTACTGGTACATCTTTAATTTTTTTTACTAGTTAAAACATCAGCAGTGACAAAATTTCCCCTACGCTTCTCATCCAAATAAAATCTATGAATGTATATGTTCAGTCTCATAAACAAATTAAACTTTGCTTCAAAGCAGTAAAATAACGTCCCATTTTTCCCTTCTTTTTTGTTTTCACTGTTGCTGCTAAAGAGAGACACCTTTTGCAGTTTGTGCCTCCCTTTCTTTTCTCAGTCTCCATTTCTCTGTTCCACATTCCGTTTCCCACTTTGTCTGCTTTTCTTGGCTGTTGGTTTGTCAGTTCTGACTCATAAATACTGCAAATGAGCCGAGATGGCTCAACCAGCTCAGCCTTTATGTTTTTTCACATGAGACTGGAAGGTTACACTAATAACATGCAAGAAATATGTTTGTCAGCAGTGAAGGGCAACCTACTGTGAGACTGACCCATGTCTGACCACACACACACCAACAGGAATATCGGGGCTGGTCGTTACCATGCTGACGTCCTGTTAGCTGATAAGAAATGCTGCACATGAATGTTTCACAGTAAAAATCGGTTCACACCAAAGTGAGATTTTTCCTCAAAGCTTCATCACACACACACACACACACACACACACACACAAGGATTGAGGAATTTCCAAAAAAATAAATAAATCATCCAGGGATGTGATGTTAGCTCAAAGCAGAGGGTATGTATGTGCGTCTGTGTTTATGCACTTAAGACCAGGGACTTCTGATTAACCAAGGACTGTGTCACCTTCCGAACAAGGGGAATTCACGTCACTAGTTGACATCAAGGTGCAATAGAAACTCACTCATAAGTTCACACTTTAAATCTGAATGATACATGTCACATCATGCTCTTTGAACGAACCCCGTGACACAGTCACCTCCATGAGGACATGCCCTGCATGAGACTGCTTAAAATATTCAAGCAAACAGATCTCGTCAAAGAAAACTATGACAAGAAATATTCAATAACATTTTTCACAAACAAAGCAAGAATAAAACTAAATAAAAGGAACCTTTGAAAACATGAACTAAGGCAAGATTATTACACCTTATTCAACAAGTTGCAGCATCTGTGGACAGAGGCATGGACGTCATTGTATGTGTGAACAAATAAACAGCCTTTGTCCCCCAACGTTGCAACCTGTAACCTGTATACAACTGTATGCAGCTCTTGTCAAAATACTTAAGACATATTAAAAAAAATGCAGCGAAAATGAGTCTAAAAGGTCACAGAGGAAAAACTAAACTACAAATCCTTTGTAAAGTGTCCTGAGATGACTTTTGCTGTGATTTGGTGTTATACAAATAAAGCTGAATTGAATTGAATTTTTGTATTTCTTAAAACTAGACTAAAATAAAACTAAACCAATGAAACAACTAAAAACTGACTAAAGCTAATGTACATCTTCATCAGAAGAGTAAGGCTAACGCTAAATCAAAATCAGATGCCAAAATGAACCCTGCACTACATACTGTAGCAAATCTGGAAATTACTTCATGCAAACTAAGAATTCAGATTCTAGTCGGTTTGGGTGGGTAGCAGCATCCTCAGAGCCTCAGTGACCTCAGCCATAAAGTATGCGCTATAGACGACGCAGGCAACTGCACCACAGCAGAGCATTAATCTACCTATTAAAACCCTCTAGTCGTGGCATTTATGCCAGCAGCCTAATGCAATGAAGCTGAGCACAAACAGTAAACTGGCCTGAGCCTAGCCACTGTAGCTGTTAATTCGTTCATGGATTTTCTGAAGTAAAGTGACACTCGCCTCAGAGCCACAGCAGCCTCAGAGCTCTGCCTTCGTCTGCAAGTTTATGAAGGCACAGATGGCAGGCAGGGATCAGTGACATGTCAGATGGGCTGACATTAGATCAGTAAGGGCTGGCCAGAGCTAGACCACATATAACTGTGGCTCCCCACACGCATGAACCACACTTAGTGGTGGCTGAAGCAATGATGAGTAATGCCCCTGCTGCAAAACAAACTCTGTATTTACATATTAGGGCAGAGAGAATACAGTGCTTTAACCTTTAACTGCTTATATCACTCACTGACAAGGAAAACATAAAGGATGCAACCATGTGGTTATTTAACACTTTAAATAAAGTTGACTGAACATATCTAGAAGCAGCTTTTTATTTTATTGTCATTGTAACATTGTGACATGTACAACGAAATTTTGTTTGGAGCAGATAGGCCCCGGGCCGCTGCGTGCATACGCGGCGTCATCATGGCCAACTTGGAGGGGGGGGGGTTCAGTGTCTTGGCCAAGGACACTTCGACATGTGGACTGCAGGCACAGAGTTTCAAACCTTCAACCTTCTGGTTGGGGGACGACTGCTCTACCCACCGCCCCCCTGTTGCCCCCCTGTCTGTCTTGTCTGTATTTGATGCAATGAACACAGATTGTAAACAAAGCATAAAAAAGAAGAGACCCTCAGCCTCCATACAATAAAACACAGAAAAACAAACTGCTCAGCTGATCAAACTGAACACTGGTTTTAAAAAGAGTGTATAAAAGCAACTCAACAATAGCTGAAATGCTTGTTTCTGTTTAACATCTTCTGCCCTGGATTAGGGTGCAAAGGATTACAAAACCCAGGGTCTGGATCACATCATGGTTTTTGAGTCATGGATAAGGTAATTTTTTGGATCAGCAAAAAAAAAAAAAAGACAAGGAAAAATAAGGGGGACACTAATATAACTGTGCTTTCCATTGAAATGACTTAAAGACACTAAGGAACAGCAACAGGTACAAAACTAAGAACACCTTTTCTAAGATGTAACATTCCACAGTCCTCTGTGAGGAATAGAGGTAGATGACACAGATGGCTTGCTAAGAACTGTTTGGTGCAACCTACACACTGTACAAATATGAATCTTGTGCTAAACTGCCAAGCCTCCCAGCATGGCACAAGCAGACACCAACAGAGCAAACAAATCTACTATACTTTTCAGAAATTTCAATGTACTTAATTTGACCCAAGCTAAAAGGCTAGAAAAGAGTATCAATGGACCATTTCACATAATAAGACTCAGAGAGCGCAAACCTCCACCCAGGCGGATCATTTCCCCATAATGCCATTGCTCCTAAAAGCAAAATTCCCATTGTAGTTTGCCCTCATACTATGACAGCTTGACCATGAAAACATACCGATGGCATTTGGAATAATGTTGGTATTATTAGTTGAAAAGATATTCAAGAAAAATGACAGACATGAGTGATTGCTGCTTGCTAGAAACAGTTTAAATAAATGTCCCATACAGACTGGCATAACAATGTGAAATTACAGTCCTTCATTGATGCACACAACTCACACCCTTTGGCTGCATAAAACTCCACTTTTTCAACATTCTCCTGCTACACTTTTAGGTTCCACTCATCTTCACTCCAAGTGCTCAGCAGAGCAGTGCAGCCGCACACTTTCACCACAAGGGAGGGCTCAATACAGTCAACAGCCTTTCCAACACTCACAGTGGTCAATAAACACTGGCAAAAACATTACCTCAACCAACCAGTAAAAACAATAAAAACCACACAAGCCAGGTCAGTAGAAACACTCTTGGTTTGCAATATTTAGCTATATGCGGATGTTTGTTTTGACCTGGTACCAGCACAGTCCGTTAGCTCCGTACTGCTGTGGCTGGATTTCGAAATCAAACAGCAAGGGAGAACAATCCCTCAGTCTCAGTGTGCTCAATAAAAAATAAATAGGTAATTATAAAATAAGAAGTCATATGAGACCATTCTTATTTTATATTAGAACTTCATTCTTTCAGTTACAGTGCTCATTTTCTATCTTTAACTTCTTTGGGGCAGATTTCCAAGTAACTTTTTTGTTTCATGCCACGTTTTACTTCTTACTGTGAATTTTCATGACAGTTGTGTTGTCATCACCCTCTAACTTTTCAGACAATCACATGCCTCCTGCATCTTCAGCAAGCAAACTCAACTGCTGCCAGATTGAGCCAGGTGAGGGGACTCTTCAATGGCTGAATGGATTAAGGTGCGTACTCTAGTTGCAACATCCGAAGTTTGACTCCCAGCTGGAGCATGGTTTGTTACACAGCATCCATGTGAACAAACAGCAGCAGCTAATGTTACCTGGTTACCTTAGCAGCCCTTTGAATCTATGTCTCTCAGATAAAGACACACAACTCTGTAGAGAACAGAAACAATAAAGCTCTTGTCATCAGGAGCTAGCTAATACTACCAACACAGGCTCCTCGGTTTCATGCTGATTAATATTTCAAGCTCTCAGGTTGACCTACTATAGCAAGCTAGCCAGTTAGGCATGAGCAGACTTGTTGGGTCAAGACTTAAAGGCATTGTCTTTATTTGACAAATTGTTGGTTCATTTATACACTTTACACAATTTCTTATCACGATTACTTATTTCATAATGTTTCTTGTTTAACATTGAACAATTTTAAATTCAAAATGCATCTAATATTTGAAAAATATTCTTTCAGTTAAGCTGAAAACATAAAATAGATTCTGTGAATGAGAAGGCATTAGTAAGAGATAAAGGAAAAAAAACCTGTAACCTGTACAAGATGTGTTAAACATGGAGGGCATGTAACAGGACACACTGTCTTTGAGCACATTGAGAAGGGCTGGGTGCTGATGGAGGATTTTCTATTTCAGAACAATGCAGAGCTGAATACAGTTACTGGATTGACCATCTTAAGGCCCCAGTTCAACACAGTAACATACAGGAGACGCAATGCTTCGACACATAGCTGCTATAATGGAGGCGAGACACTGACACCAAGCAATGTAGTACTTCACACACAGATCAAGACAAGTGACGAAGTTGTGGTTTCGCAGGTCAGTGTCACATAACTTTACTCTGTCACCTAAAGTACTTACCTTCTTGAAAAACATCATCAAAATCACTTCCTCTTGTTAAACACACAATCTATGCCAGAAATACAGTATGATGTACACTACAGTATGTAACGAGCTGAAAAGGTATTTGAATCTCTTACTTACTCCACTGATTTAATAAGCTATTCACATGCATCTTGTGGATGATGGAACAGATGCAGAGGTCTCTGTGCAGAAACTGGGGAGGAACCACACACATACAACATGTGAGCAAAAACACAGACATGGTATGAGACACGTCGACTGTCGAGCAAGTAACATTGAAAACCAACATGAAGACTGACTGGCACACACGAGACTATTTACTGTTGATTTCAAATGAGACAAAAATCCATTTCCTGGTGACAGTAATTATACTTTGGACAAGATTCTGGGTTTTAAGGCAGCTATCATCTGTGGTATTGTAAGAAATGTCACATATTTTCAAAAGCAGTATCCTTAGTTTGTTGGCACAATAAAATTCTGTTCATGTCAGAAAGACAGTGCAGAACAACAAACTGATCCTTTTCTGTACACATATCTATAAATATCCCTACAGTGACTGCATTTCAGACTGTCTATGGCAGTGGAATCCTCATTTCTGTGAACAGTTCAACCAAAAGAAATTCTTCAGCGGTCTAAAATTCCAACAGTAAAAAGATAACATTTGAGGAAAGTCGGGGAAAATGAAGAGACTTTTGGGTCCAGTGCATTAAATGAGGTCAGGGATCCTAAGTATTAAAGCAGCTCAAGTCAATATTTCTCTATCAACTGTAGATCACATGGCATTTAGAAGTGTTGCTTGTAGTAACTAATCTAGAGAAACGTACCACCTGAGGGCAGTTACCTCCACTTCTGTGTTGTTATAGAATTGCTCCTGTCATCAGCATCCGAGCTTAAAGAACCCACCTTCAAACAGGTAGTGTGTCAGTCTGTTTCTGTTGTCAGTCTGAACCTAACCTTCATCCTAACACCTAACCACTGAGGGGGGCACCACACTAACACAGCTGCAAAGGGAGGGAAACACTATCTGAGGTGAACAGACTTTGTGACAAGCCTGGACCCATGACAGAACCAGATTCCTACAGAATGGGTCCCCATCCCAAAGTAACACCATGGCACAGCTTGTACTGATTCTACTAAGCTTTATTTACACCCACTTGTAAAGCTTCTGTAATATAATTTTATTTACTTAAATGTGTTTTGGCTATTTATTGTTAACAACAGCCTGCTTATGGCACATTGTACTTGCTGTGGAATGATGTCTCTAAGCAGACTTAAGATGTTGTTGTCATATGGACATAATGTCGTATACCTTTCTATTTAAAACCAGGTTTATTGGGTTCTTGAGCAGACAGGTTTGTACTTTCTACAAACACAGAAGATAGCAAATAATCTTTCGGGCTACTTACATAGAATTAGTCCCAGCGTCGTTGTCGGAAAAAAAAACACAGCTCAGATTGATACTGTCGATGTATTATGCATCACATATCCGTTTGTTGTGTGTGCATGAAGTTGAGGTTACTACAGTACAACACCTCTCACCGATTACGCACCTCTCGCAGCGTCCAGACGACGCACGCACTTCCCCGCGGCTCATTTCACTGTAGGTACGACGGTAAAACAAGCCTCGCTAATGCAAATGCATGTTTTATAGGTTGTCTTAGGAACCAGCTTCTCCAGCACGTCGGTGGATGTAACTCCACCCACAAGGAGGCCGGCCGGAACCGAGCAGCAGGCAGCCTGACAAACTGTCTGCTGTCAGGAGGGCAATGTCCAACTGATCCAGACTGTCACACACAGCTCTGATGTTTTGTTTGGTTTTATAGTGTATGCATGTTTTATACATTCATTTGTTCCTAGATACTTTTAGTTTTGAACCCTTTGAATCCTGTCAGGATTCAAAGGATGAGTAACCCACTTGTATTGTATAATACCTCAGTCTCTTCTGAAAGAGGACTGTGGCAACCAGAAGTATCTGGATGCAGCACAACACAGAAGTGGGAGGGTTTCGAACAAGCAGAGCTCTGGCCCAGAGCAGAAACTCCTACTCAGTGTGGGGAATGAATAGACTCAAACAGAAGACACACATAACAGACAAATGGATACTCTGGAAAATGAGGGAAAGTATATGATGAGATGAGAAGAGGATCACAACAGCACTACATACTTTGAGCTGTTGGGCTAGGAGGTTGTTACTTTAGTATGTGCAGTAAACAAAATTCAGGTTCGTGAGACCTAAGCCATTTTGTTGTACGTTAACAGGGCATAAGAACATGCCTTTACATGCGGTTCCTACATTTTTTTGGCTTGTCACAACTTAAATGTATATTTGAGAGCCTACATTACAAGTTGTGGCCTGTCAGTTCAAACAAAGGATGATTTTCATTCTTAGTTAGTTCGATGGATCTTTGAAGGCCAGAAAGAACCATTAGTATCAGAAACATCTGGTGACTTGTCAGATTTTTCTCTGGGCCTCAACCCTGGCCTCCAGCTTGACAGCTGCTTTAGATAAGCCCAGCAAATATTGTAATGTAAATTTAAAAAGTCAGATATCAGTGTTGTTGGTGACCTAGCCAAGCCTTAGATGAAATCACTTTCTAATCTATATTAGCCTATTCATTTTTTGTTGTTTTGTAACATGTTTGCCTTTGACACAAAAACAGTGAAGAGAGACAGGAAACAGGGACAAAAAGAAAAGGACAGTATTTTAGTTTAGTCCTGTATCATGTCTCCAATGTGGACATAGTACAGGACTAATGTAACAAGACAGGGCCTTATTAATGTGAAACAAGGCAATCAGGAACAACCAGGGCTATCAAGACTAACAAAGCAGAGATCAATAGATGGAAAAATCAACTAGCAACACAGGGTAACCAAGAGGGGGGAGCAACACACAGACAGAAATGAGCTCAACCTGACCATGTAAAACACAAATAGCACACAGAAAAACACTACAACCAAACCTATCAGGGGCAGACAAGCAAATGCATGTAACCACGAGCAGCCAAACAATAAAGGAACATGGACCTGTATGAGGTAAAGCTTAAGGAAAAAACAGAGTCCAAATTATCAGAGTGATGCAGGGCAACAGACAAAGATTAGAGGACATATAATAAGCTGGCAAGGAACCACAACGGGAGGCAAAGACAACAAGTATGGAACAAAAAGCAGGACACGGTATGCAGACAAACCAGCAGCTTGACTGAGGGAGATGAGTCGGAATGGGGGCGGCTGTGGCTCAGGAGGTCGAGTGGGTCATCTCCTAACCCGAATATTAGCGGTTTGATTCCCGGCTTGTCCAGTCCACATGTCCTTGAGCAAGACACCGAACCCCCAGTTGCTCCCGATGATGACACCAGTGTGTGAATGGCCAAATAGTGTGAAAGTGCTTTGAGTGTGCTGTAATGCATAGAAAAGCATTAAGCATATAAGACCATTTACCATATAAAAGTTAGGCAGAGGAGGCCAACCAGCAACAGGTGAAAGTACTAGGAGGAAATTACTGGCTGGAGTAAAGCTGGGGCAGGTGAGAGAGCATGGGACAGGAAATACCTTCAAAATAAAAGTACAAAACAGGAAGTCCGTGGGGATCATGATAAGGTCATTAGTTGAAATCAGTACAGGATCATTCTGTATATACAGTGGTGTGAAAAAGTATTTGCCCCCTTACTGATTTCTTATCTTTTTGCATGTTTGTCACACTGTAATGTTTCAGATCATCAAACAAATTTAAATATTAGTCAACGATAACACAAGTAAACACATCATGCAGTTTTTAAATGAAGGTTTTTATTATTAAGGGAAAACAAAATCCAAAACTATATAGCCCTGTGTGAACAAGTGTTTGCCCCCCTGTCAAAACACTGGTTTATCGCACCTGAGTTCAATTTCTCTAGCCACACCCAGGCCTGATTACTGCCACACCTGTTCGCAATCAAGAAATCACTTAAATAGGACCTGCCTGACAAAGTGAAGTAGACCAAAAGATCCTCAAAAGCTAGACATCATGCCGAGATCCAAAGAAATTCAAAACCAAATGAGAAAGAGAATAATTGAGCTCTATCAGTTTGGAAAAGGTTATAAAGCCATTTCTAAAGCTTTGGGACTGCAGCGAACCACAGTGAGAGCCATTATCCACAAATGGCGAAAACATGGAACAGTGGAGAACCTTCCCAGGAGTGGCCGGCCGACCAAAATTACCCCAAGAGCGCAGCGACAACTCATCCAAGAGGTCACAAAAGACCCCACAACAACATCCAAAGAACTGCAGGCCTCACTTGCCTCAGTTAAGGTGAGTGTTCATGACTCCACCATAAGAAAGAGACTGGGCAAAAATGGTTTGCATGGCAGAGTTCCAAGACGAAAACCACTGCTGAGCAAAAAGAACATAAAGGCTCGTCTCAGTTTTGCCAGAAAACATCTTGATGATCCCCAAGACTTTTGGGATAATACTCTGTGGACAGACGAGACAAAAGTTGAACTTTTTGGAAGGTGTGTGTCCCATTATGTGTGGCGTAAAAGTAACACCGCATTTCAGAAAAAGAACATCATACCAACAGTAAAATATGGTGGTGGTAGTGTGATGGTCTGGGGCTGTTTTGCTGCTTCAGGCCCTGGAAGACATGCTGTGATAAGTGGAACCATGAATTCTGCTGTGTACCAAAATATCCTGAAGGAGAATGTCCGGCCATCCGTTTGTGACCTCAAGCTGAAGCGAACTTGGGTTCTGCAGCAGGACAATGATCCAAAGCACACCAGCAAGTCCACTTCTGAATGGCTGAAGGAAAAACAAAATGAAGACTTTGGAGTGGCCTAGTCAAAGTCCTGACCTGAATCCAATTGAGATGCTGTGGCATGACCTTAAAAAGGCAGTTCATGCCCGAAAACCTTCCAATGTGGCTGACTTACAACAATTCTGCCAAGATGAGTGGGCCAAAATTCCTCCACAGCGCTGTGGCAGACTCATGGCAAGTTATCGAAAACGCTTGATTGCAGTTGTTGCTGCTAAGGGTGGCCCAACCAGTTATTAGGTTTAGGGGGCAAACACTTATTCACACAGGGTTTTGTAGTTTTGGATTTTGTTTTCCCTTAATAATAAAAACCTTCATTTAAAAACTGCATGATGTGTTTACTTGTGTTATCTTTGACTAATATTTAAATTTGTTTGATGATCTGAAACATTACAGTGTGACAAACATGCAAAAAGATAAGAAATCAGTAAGGGGGCAAATACTTTTTCACACCACTGTATGCACTGAACTGTCAGCAGATGCCTGTGCCTTTGTATAAAATGATAGTATAGCCCATAAACAATGTAGAATTTCTGAAACATGCTTTATAATCAGTATGGGACATTGTGAGGTGTTCATTGAATCTCTTGATTATTAAAGGCGACATCAGACAATTTTACACATAAAATTAATTTACTTGTCATGAGGAATGTGTTCAGCCAAAATCAAACAAACAAACAAAAAAACAGTAGTATGTCATCTGTGGCTCTGGAGGATCTTTGTCATCATGACTCAAGTGGCATCATGTAAGTCATCCCAGCTAATTTATGGCACACAACCTGTAATACAATCTGGGGGTATGGAGTCAGAGAGATGTGTGCTTACTATTCACAGGTGTCTAAAAATGAATTGTGTTGTCCCTAGTGGTTAAGGTGCAGCGCTCTCACCGCAGCGGCCCGGGTTCGAGTCAGGGTTGCATCAGGAACGCCATCCGGTGTAAAACGTGTGCCAAATGTCAACATGTGAGTCATCAGTGTGATGTGTGCTGTAGAATCAACATCTTTGGAGATTGACCCATAATCTGGTGAATATCTGCTGGGTCTCTTCACTTAATACAATGTGATCAAATTGTGGCATTAACATGCTCTCAAAAAATCCTCTAATTTGTCCTTTCTGGACATGACTGGTTAATGCACAGTGGTGGAGAATTGGCTGTTGTCAAATCATGGTTAAAAAAATTAATAAAAACTGGTATGGGCCAGTTCTGTAACAGAGGAGTAAAAGTGAACAGTATAAGGTTATATTTGTCATAAACTGCCAAAGCCTGTAGATATTCTGTTGCTCATGAGTCAACGATGAATGTGTTGGAGTTTGGTTTTGCCATCTGATTACAAATTTAGCTAAAAAATATAAAAAATGGATTACATCGTTATGAAAACCTCGAAGTATAATGTCAGACACCACACTAAGATTTTCTTTATATATTTTTAAATGAACTTATAAGTAAAATACAAATTCACTGAGTGCCTAAAATTCAGTGAAAGATTGTAAATAAATCAATCAATCTGGTAAAACTTTATGTTTCTGTGTAAGGTTTCCATAAAGTGCCCACATCCATAAACCACTTCCTGCCCCAGGATTTCTAGAGCTCTCACTATTATTATTTTATTTTATTTTTTGGATATTAACAGTGTATCAACTGAGAAAGTGAAATCAGGTCATCCACAGGGACAAGCTCACAGAGAATTATGACCCGACTCACAGTCTTTAGCATCTTTCAACTCACTTGTTTGGTTGTACCACCTACAACTACTGTTTTGGTTAAACTGCACCGCTCTCATCAGCCTCTCTGATAAGCCCACTTTACACTTGGTGCCGAAGAGACAAAGTTAGCAACTAGCTGGTAAACATAGTGGATCATTTAGCAGCTACAGAGCCAGATATTTCTCTCAGACATTGGTGGGCAGTGGTGGGTAATGGGTTTGCTAACACATTAGCTATAACTGCTTAACACTGATAACATGTCAGTGTTGTTTACAGTTTATTCTGCTGTCCTCAAGTGGCTAGCTATTTTTTAAGCTTTTTTAAATGTCTGGGTATTTCACTGTGGAAAGTGACATTAAATAATAAAATATCATTTTGAAATAGTTTATGAAAAACATTACATAGTTAAACAACTTTTAAAATGTAGTCATATTACAGTTAGAAACCACTTTTTCACAGCCCTATTGCTCAAGAGCCAAGGAATGTCAGTCTTACTGCAAGAGAGTGTGTTGAGTTTTAGTTTTTGATAAAGGGCCAACACTGGCACAGCATACAGTATCAGTCTCCTCCTCCGCTGCGCTTAAAGACAACAGCAGCTGCCATCTGCTGATGCCTAGACTCACTGGTGAATCATGAAGGAGCAGCCGACTATTTGTGAGCCCACTCACCGGCTCTACTGTAGTCATCAGCCAGCAGGCCAGTCATTACACAGCAGCTAATGCTATTACCTCCTGCTGTCACTAGTTCACCAGCATCCAGTCTGCTGATCTAATATGCAACTGCCTTTTTAAAATCAGAAATCAGTGGAGCGCAATTTCATGTCTAACTCTGTCAGCTGGGTTTTCAAAAATAGGATTTTGAAACCATTTGAAATTTATTCAAATCAAACACCAATTATAAGCTTACAATTACATTTACTGGCATTGTTCTCCAGCCCACTGGAGCTCAGCTCTGACTCCTTCAGCGTCAGTGTTGTCAGCTCTCACACTGGCCAAAATAAAAGTTTAAATCTCTATGGCCGTTGCACAGTAGCAGGATCAATATGTATGTATTCACGTTGAGAGGTGGCACAGCAGCAGTAACTTCACTCATTACTGAAAGTCTCTAAAGTGACTGAAGCCTTGTTAACCTAAATGCTTTTCTTCAAAGCAAACAGGTCCACTGCTGCACACACACTCCATTTCTACAGTGAAACAAAGCAGCTGTGCTCAGGACGACTCCAGCACCATCAGAGCTGTCGCTATAGTTTTACTTTCCTCAAAAGTCCAAATATCATTTACTCTGTAGAATCACAATAGTTTTTCTGGTTTGTTGAGTGGTTCATTGCAGGAAGGGTTTCAGTTTTGCTGCTAAAATACACTAATATCTGCAAACTTGTATTTTGAACTATAAAGACAGTTTTGGCATGTTGTATTATTGTCTTTTTGGATTCACAGAAACAGAAAATTCAACATTCCTTTCCTGAAACAGTGTACTGTTACTCTGGACAGTTACTACTGAAGAAACAGCCCCTACAATATAAAAACTGTGAACCCGCCATCCCACCCTCATGGGACAAGGGCTTCCTCCCATCACTAATCCCAATTTAACCGCTGCAAGAAGTTTGGAACAGGCACAGATATACTGACTGATACTTCTTTACATAAATATCAATAATTACAGTCATGTACATGTGTATGGTGAGGATAACCTCAATAAATTATACTAACATCATGTTATTCAACCACTTCCATGTTTCATCCGACAGCACTGACACGGAGGTCCTGCAGCTCCTGCTTCATCCTCTGCAACAGGGAGGTTGTTTCTGTTATAGGGAATCAACAGAAGAGCAACTGAGGGAGGAACAGGTGGAACCCCAGAGACCAAGGCTGGGTGAGCGTACTGTACTGACATGCATACAGTCAGTACTATCAGTACTATCATTACACCACCAAAGTTCAAGTAAGGAAACTTTAATAGTCCCTTTAAAAGTGCTGTGCAAAGCATTAACCTTACAAAACAAAGCATTAACAAAGCCCTTTATTTGGATTAATGAAGTAATACAGCACATTAACTTGAATGAAACGAAGTGACAACTTTCATCTTTGAATGTGTACATCAGATCACAACAGAGCAAGAATTGTAACACCTTTTAAACAAAGGTCCCATGTACATACTGTACTTTGCACACTTGTACAATACATTGCAATCCAATACAACAGCCATGCCAAAGCCTCACTCTTTATGAAGCTCAAAATGTTTCAGACTTTGGTGAATTTGTTAGCAATGCATAAATTCAACGATATGTTCATTACTGAGGTCACAGTTAAAGGTTGTGTTGCTTTGGACTGCATTATATTCAGAGGTGTTCCTAATATTCAGATCCCCCCCATGTACAGTACGTAGATGAGAACCGCAAAAAATAGAGACATTACTGAAGAAATGAAATCTGTCAAATAACACACACAGAGAATTATGCCCTGAGCAGAAATATTGCAAACAACGCAAATATGATTACAATTTTAGATTCTTCCAAGAAGCCATCTTGTGTGTTGTTGTACTCTCTGGTGAAAACAAAGCAGCAGCATAGTAACAACAAAACAGTACTGTAGCAGCACAGTGATAGTGATACAGTGGCAGCAATGTAACAAACAGTGATATGCGGTAAAAATAAACCCAGAGCTTCAATATACAGAGGTCAGGTACAGTATAAAGCTGTGAGGCATTTTGGTGCATAGCATATCACAGTCAGCAGTGTCAACCTGCTGTAGCTGAGTAAAAGACTTCTACTTCTAACTGTAATGACCCCCGTCAACAGGTCAGTCCATCCACATCTGACATTTGCACTATGGACTAGAACCTGTCAGCCACACACACTGCCACCTGCTGGCTGGCTACACATTCTGTATAAATAGGCACACTATCATCACATACCTGGGGCTGAAATGAGCGTACACAGTAACCTGACTAAAACGTCATTCAATGCTACTAGCAGCTAAAAAAAAAGGCTGCAAACAACTGTTATTGTGATTATCAATTACACCTGAAGCAACTGATCCAAATGTTCAGCAACTCTAGAGTCAACTAGAGATGACTTGCTGCATTTTTAACATTTTTTTTATCCCTATAAGTCAGCTTACTTTCTAAACAAGCCTTTCACAGCTGCACAAAAAGAACACAGCTGGAATTTTAGGGAACTTTTTAGTCATCGCTGTTCAGTTGCAGGAAGTTTGAGGCTACCAGGTCTCTGATGTCATTGATGCGATGGTAACCTGAATATCTTGGTCTACTGGTCAGACAACATAAGCCATTTGACCTGACCGTGGAAACACCTTGTTCTCTGTCCTTCTATAAACCAAAACATTAATCAAATAATTGAGAAAATGATTGGCTAATTTTAGCTTTTGATGATTCTTGATTGTTTTCGCCTCATCTAAGAAAAAAAAAGACTGAATTTATGATATAAAACAGAAAAAGCAGCAAATTCTCATTCTCTTTAAGTTCAAGCAAGATATTTTCTTTGTGAATGACTCAAATCAATTTCTCAATTATAAAATGTCTTGCTCATTTTTGTTAAACTCATTATTAAAGAACACAGGCTACATTCTATTACACCTCTTGTATAGTGAGCCATTTGTTAAATTGCTAGACATTCAGTTGGAGAAATGATTCACTGATCTGCAACCACTCTGATCACATATACAGGAGAGTAAACTGAACACGTGTGGGTTTTGCACTGTTGGTCAGACAAAAGAAGACATCAGAAGATGTCACCTTGAGTTTTTAGGATCTATATTTTTCTGAAATTAATCAATTAAACAAAATGATCAAAATAGTCATTGATAATGACAATAAATGGAGCCCTAGGTTGCATTATCAACTGAGTCAAGTGTCAGCAATATGTAAAAAATTCTTCAAACTGCTTGTTTATTCTGACCAACAGTCCAAAACACAAAGATATTCAATTTATGATAATAAAAAAATACAACAAATCATCAAATTAGAGAAGGTGCAACCAGCATATTTTCTGCATTTTTGCTTAACTGGCTTAAACCAGAAGTTCCAAACCTTTTGTGGCTTGTGACCTTTAAAAACAAAGTCATATGTACTAGCAGCATGTCTGTTATTTATAGGTTTAGTTATCTACAGGTTTAATTAAAGAGTGGTGACATATTGGTGATATATTCTCTTAAAATTTATTTGAATACATTCCTGAGGCTTCCAGTATTTGACAATAAAAAGATTGAGCCAGCATGACCAATACCAGGGCCCTGATAAGGAAGCAGTGAAATGAAATCCAGTCATTTGACTTAAAAGATTAATCAGTTATGAATACAGCTGATTGTTTGCTGATTACATAGTTATTAAATGACTGTTTCAGAGCTACATTCTTTCTCTTTAAAATGACCCGTGTTAAATTTCCTGATATTCAGCAGGTGTAATTAGCCATCCAGCCCTTGAACATATCACTCCATAAACTTTTATGTTTGCTGAGAAACCCACTGATCAATCAGCCTTTAAACCTGAACATCCCCAGCCCCTGACTGTGTGTGTGTGTGTGTGTGTGTGTAATGGCTTTCTTCCCTGTGCAGCAGGCCACTCATGTCAGTCTCTATTGTGAGGCCCTTGGGGCTGTCAGCAGCTAGCGTGGCCTTTGGAGAAGTCCTCCCAAGCCTGCAGCAGCTTTGATGGCTTAAACCCATTAACAATTATGAGTTTTGCAAAGATGCACCTGTTGTACTCCAGCATCCTTAATTCAAACAGATTCCTGAGGGTAGGCAGACTGATAGCATACACCGGCCGGATGCCAAGCACACGCAAACACAACCCCACATAGACATCCTCCAAAGAGATCATTGGGACAAACCGGGATGCCCAGGAGATCCTGGCAGCCAGGTCTGCAGAGAAGACATACCCAGCTCCAGATACATAAGGGGGGAAGCTGTCCTCAGGGTACTGCTCCTCTGATAAACTCCATTTACTCTTGTCTCTCCTCGGTCTGCCGTCACTTATCACAGATCCTGTAATGAAACGCTGTCGAGGCAAGCTCCTCAGCCATCTGAGGATGTAGAACACGTTCACAAAGTTGTCAGAGTCCACCTTCATGACATAGGAGGCGTTTGGGCAGTGGGTCACCACCCATTTTATCATCATCATGGTCTTGATTGTCAGATTCTGGTAACTCTCCAGAAACGTCATCTGGATGATGTCTGCATGTTTCCTGTGCTCTTCCTCCAGCATGTCCTGGAAACCTGACACCTGCCCCGAGTCAGGAAGCCCCATATAGAAGAGGGTGAGGGTGTCCGGGCGCGGAGCACCCCATGTTTTCCTGATGGCCTCCCTTGCCTCAGCCTCCTGAGGGGCAACTGGGACCATAAAAACTAAGAAGGGGCTCCTTTGCCTGCAGGCTGCAGGCTGGTTGAGGAGGTACTGGTAGGTTTCAGGAGATAAAAGTCTGTACGCCTCCGCAGGAACGGGACTTGGTTCTTTTATCAGTGTACGCACGAGAACCTGAACAGACAGGACGAGCACAGCTGACACGGTGAGCAACTTTACTAACGTCCAGGGGAAACTTGTCTTCATTGTCCCGAAGGACAATCTTCAATCCAACGCGTTTCGGAGTCTTTATATCATGACCCATAAGTCCGACATGAAACAGGAAAGAGCAAATATACTGTCCCAGCAGAGCAAATCCGGAAGTGGAAAGCAGCCGAACAAGACGGGCCAGGGTCAGCGGACGGTGTCCGTGACGTAACAAGTTTCACTATATTAAGGATGTGTTTATGCATATTTATAACCCAGGGCGGGACTTCAAGTCGAGCTGGTAGGTTACTAGCAAAGAAAGCACTAATTATGAAGTTATACTGACAAGGATGAACATACACAACAACAATAGGCTGGGTTCAGGTTCAGTGAGACACCTAAACCTAAAGATTTGTGTGCCGCCTCAAGTAAAACGATCCATCCATTTTCATCTGTTTATCGCGGTAAAATGATAATCTTTTTAATTTTATTGTGCTTCTTTACAAGTCTTAATTTAGCCTATTTATTATTCTTGGTAAAGGCACATCACCACACAGTTCCGTGGTCAAATCTGTCAGCTTCTTACTAATTACACTGCTGCACAGGGCTCCAGAAATTTGCCTCGGAGATTATTATTAATATATATATATGTAGTCTGATCATGGTGTTTGTCTTGTACGATTATGCTTAAAGGTTTTGGAGGCGGCAAGTGAGCAATGACCAGACAATCATGAAGCCATGAGGTATGACACCTTAAAATCTTGCTGTCTCATGAGCAAATATATATATATATATGTCAACTTTTCTTTAAAATAAATAAATAAAAGTCCTGACAATCTTCCCTTTAAACAAAGTGTTTTATTGTAATACAGTTTACAAAGAAACACCAGATGGACACCCAGTTATAAACAAACAAATCAATAAAAACAATTTACACAGGCATTCTTTTGAAGGTCAGTGGTTTAGTATCCTGCCTTAGCAGGGGGTGGGGAGTTGGGGGTAGAAACTGTAACTAGTTTTAACCTTGCCAAACATTATTTTCTTCAATGTAAGGATAGAGATCTTACTATGTCAACCGGACTTTAATTGGAACTGGTTAATTTTAATTCAAGCATCAATGTCACATAACAATCTGTTGTTCCACATGTACTATATTCACATTTTGCAAAAAGAAAAAAAAATCACTGCATTTCATTTTATACTGAGTTACAGGTCCTGCCTCAGATTCATTCATAAGGGAAACAAAACTAATTGAAACACTTTACTTTTTAAAACACAATACTGTCGCTGAAGCATGATGCCTTCAGGGGCTCACATAATGAATGGAAATGCTGACAGTCATGTGGACATGAGATGTGGACAGTTTAATACTCTGCCAATTAGCTTATTTCTCTTTTCATTTCCATCTCTATCATTTCAGATGATGGCTTGTGCTCTGGGAGATGAGGGACTCTGGGGAGGATGAAGTGACACTGAGACAAGTTGCACAAAGACAAACAAATGGCAAGATAGATACCTGACGTGCCAGCTGAGGAATATCCCTTTTCAACTGTTTAAATCAGTACTGTATACATGTACAATACTGTACAAGGAACAGAATCTCTATGATACTCCAGTTGAATTATCATTGTATTAACAGATCCTGAACTTAAACAAGACCACATTGTACTATAAACAGCCTATCCTTTCTGTAATACCCCAAAAGTTGCTTGGATATGAAAGAGGAGACTGTATTAACTCCTGTACACAACATAATGTCCAAGCTGCTCTCATGTCCTCCGCAGCTGCTGTAACACTAGAGACAGGGTCAGAATCAGGTGAGATGGAGTTGTTTTGCTCTCTTTGGTGCGTGATTAGAATCTGTGTGGGCTTGATTTAAGTCCAGTTTGTAACATGCATATCAGTTTCATCACTGGCAGGTTTTCCACAACCATATCCCCAGGTTGGGGGGGTGGGGGGTTGAGGCTCATCTGTGAGGGCGGGAGCAGCAGGGCTCTTGGCTTTGGTTGCTGCTGGGTAGGTGGGTGTGTGAGTTGAGCTGGGGGTCCAGACAGAGTACTGTTGTTGTAGGTGGTGGAGATTTCCAAATCATTTATGATCGTTTCCTCCTTCCCTCCAGGTTTCTGAAGTTGGAAGGTCTGATCTTCATCTCAGCAAACTGAATTGAGTGCTCGTGGCCTTTCCAGTGGAACCAGTTCACTCCCTGGAGAAGCAGACAGAGACACAACATATGCTGAATGAGGCCTTTAGCTTTCTGTCACAGATTTCTTTTACAGCCAAAGCAACCGTATCACCAGACAAAAACATCAATATTGCACAATTCTGGAAACCCAAGATTATGTTCATTGGCATGGAAACAATAGTATAGTTAGGTTTAAGGGAAATGTAATGTTTATGACAAATAAACTATGTTTAAGGTATCGATAACCTGGATTTAAACTTGGCACACATGGTAATGGCAGCCCCACCCCAGACACCTACAGTGTGTTTTGGTTTGTTTACACAGACTGGTTTCTCATACTGAGAGCACCATCAGAACACTGGACAGATGTGTGTATATGATTGGGCTGGATCACGTTTTAATATATTCCCACAGCAACTATATTTCGTTTACTTTGTGAACTACAGTCACACCTCCTGATTGGACCTAGTCTACTCTCTCGTTCAGTTCAGCTGTGATGTAATGTGAGCAGTTCTCCACTTTTTCTCTGTTCTTTGCATTTATTGCGTCTCTTAGTCCCCTTTTAGGGATTACTCCTGCCCAGTACATCATACTTTACTTTTCTGTATTCACCCTCAGTGATTACTTGTCATGTGCTCTGTACTTCGAAATTTATTTTGATGCCCTTGTTGTTGTGCCTCACGCAAATTGCAGCATGTTGAGCGCAAGTTGCTAGGCGAAAAAACGACTAGGTGGCTGGCAGATATCAACACGTTTTAAGCTTGGGTGCCAACATATTTATCTACAAATCAGCAAAATGTGGTTGTATTGAAGAGGAGACGTGCAGTAGCAAAGAAGAAGAGGGTGTTGGTCCATCAAAACCAGTTTCTCCTCCATTTTATTTGTGGTCTGTCAGGTTTTCTGCAATTGGACGTGTCGAGGTGTCCTCACGCGTGACCTTGGTTTGATAGTGCAAGCGCAAAGCCCAGCACTTCCTACTTGAAAACGGCTTATCACACCTGATAGGACTGAAAAACTGCCTGCTACGTTTTAGTTTAAAGTCATTTAATCAGCTTTTGTGTAAGTTAAATGGCACTACATTCGCACTAGAATTAAACAGTCAAAAACAAGTTAGTCATAGTATGTGCACACACAGTAAGGCATTATCCTTCATACAATGTCAGGTATCTATAAAGGCAACTGTAAAGCTGTGATATGGTTACATCTGAAACTTTGTAGGAGAAGAGGACCAATCAGAGTTATTGTGGTTTTGACTTGGTGTCCCTAGCCCTGCTGTGTTATCACATTTCTGAAACTGTGTCAGCGAGAGGACCCTAGACTCTCAGCTTTAGGGTTAGGCAACTACAGCATTTAGTTTAGGTTAGGACAAGATTGTTGTTATAATTTTAAAAATTAAAAGAAAAAATGATCCACACTCCTCAGTACATAAGGGCCAGACAGCTTCCTGCCTTGGCACTGAGTGTTTGGCACTGATATACATAATGAAATGCAGACTAATGTGCAATGTGCACAGGATTCTTGCAGATGCTGGCTTGGCCAAAGATTTAGGTATAATGAGATGACCTTTTGCTGTTAGACTTGATTTTGTAGTGATTATAGTGAAATTACATATACTTTAGATCTAAGTCAATCAGTGTTCTTTTCACAGGGATATTTCCAAACAGTAATGAGATTAAACAGCTGAACCAGTGGATCAGTAACTCCTGTGATATCCTCAGAATCTTCTCAAGGACTAATGGGAATTCAGTAACTGCATTATGAGTTCCACACTGTACCTTGCTGTGACTGTTATCTCCATATCGTCCCATGAGGTTGACACGGTGGCAGTTTTTATACCAGAAGGCTCCCTTATAGGACAGGGCACAGTTGGTGACAGCGATATCATTGTCATGGTCATAAGTGGAGAATGGGCGACCATGGTGGTAGGTCATAGAGTCACCTACAAACACACACAATTGAGAGAATCAGCACAGTCCATTTACACTGCAACAACACAGCATGTATAGACTGCACTATCGGCCACAGAGGAGATTTTGTATAGTTTGTTAGAATATATTCTAATTCAGATTTTATTTTCATTAACATCAACTTTTAAAAACAAAAACATGGGCAATCAATGCATAATTCTAATATAGAAACTATTAATAAAAGAAATCCATTTAAAATCTTTTGAAAATGATAGCACTTTGTTGTCTCTACAAAGAGGAGGAAGCCACTTGAGTACTCTGGTGGAGACTTGTTCAGTCAGTGGAGATATCGCAGGTGTAATGTCATCATTTCATCGGTGCACCAGATCACTCGGCACTGAAGGCTGAAACAACCCACAGCATTCACCTGGTTGCTGAATTCCTAATGAAAAACAAAAAAGGACCCAACCACTGCTTCTTCATTCAAATTTAATGTCTTTAACTATGGTGACATGATTCTTGAGGCAACCTGAAAAAAAAGAACTGGAAACTGAAAATCATATGTGGGTAGTTGTTCATCTTTCTATGAAAAATAATTGATATTCAGCACCTGCAATTAATTTAAGATGTGCTTCTTGGAGATTGTCTTGATTCCATCAGTTAAAGCTCCTCTAACAAGTTTCACCTGCAATGCTGAGGATCCTTGAAGGATAACGCTGGTAATATTCTATATATTTTTTATTCATTCATATTTTTGATTACACACTATTGTTTGTATACCTACAAACCCCATTTCAAGAAAAAAAAAAAGGTCTTATACTTGTATAGCGCCTTTCTATGCTTTTACAGCACACTCAAAGCGCTTTCACATTATTCGGTCATTCACCCATTCGCACACCCAAGCACTCACACCGGTGACATCACCGGGAGCAACTGGGGGTTCAGTGTCTTGCTCAAGGACACCTCGACATGTTGACTGGACAAGCCGGGAATCGAACCGCTAATCCTCGGGTTAGGAAATGACCCGCTCTACCTCACACACACACTTAATTTACATTTAATACCATATACACTGTCCTACTGCTGAAGAGCCCCAGACAGGATCCAACAGTACTGAGAGGCAGACTAAAGCATCATGCAGATGTCTGACTGCAGGCTACAGAAATCAGCTTTACCTGCTGTTCCACTGTATCCTCCTACATGGACTTTGTAGCGGGTTCGTGGTTCAGAGACAGAGAACTTGTCGTACTGAGCGTAGGCTGTTTCTCCCTTGTCTCTCAGGTCAACCCGCAGCTCATACTGACCTCCAGCTGTTATCTTATGCAGGTTGGACAGACCTGAGTCACAGATGTGATTATATAGAGGCGGGACAGCAGTGATAAATGATAGCTCTGATAACATATTATTACACAATAATACAGTATTCTGCATTTAGATAACAAAATCCATATATAAATAATAAGGCTGACAACTAGTTAAAACTAGATTCAGTTTATAAGGTGTATCTGCTTTACTTCATTTTTATATAGAATTATGATGAAAGTATTTTGTACTTTCATCATAATTCTGAAATTGTCCACTCAAAGAGAATTTCATAGTAACACTTTTTATAACTAATGCAGTCAGTGTGAAAAGTTTGCACAGTCTGATTGTTATCAATCCACAGGGCTGTTCTTATGTTTTACACTGGACATACTTGATCATTAGACAAAATGTGTCTTATCAGCAATGGATGACACAGGAAACACTGAATGCTATTCATTTTGTATAATCACAGTGCTAACTGAACATAGTGGTATACCCTTGTGTGCTGTGGAATGGTGTGGTGTTCGCTAGACATTACCCAGCCAGAACTCATCATTCAAGTCCCCAAAGCCAGCTGTATAATTTTTCCAGTTGCGGAAAAACTCCAGTTTACCGCTCTGGCGTCTGAGGAAAACCTACAAAAGGAAAAGCAATTGTAAATGAATAGTGTCAGATCATGCTGTTACCTACATTCCCACTGCTAAGTACCTGTATGCTACTTAGAAGCCAAAGAACATTAAAACTCAAAAATAATCTTGATACTGTATGCCGTGAATGGTACTGCTACAGAAGCACAGCAGACAAATGAATCACCGTCTCTGTAGTCTCAATAAATTTTCTGTGAAGTCCTTCTTAAAGGCAGGGTTGGTGATTCTTTTCAGAAGCATTTTTTGTTACATATCTTGTAATTTCTCTTTTCATCTTAATGTCAATGAATACATTAAGCTTTCTTTTTGGAAAACAAGGTTAAGAAGAGCTAATAATAAGCTGTAGGCTGTAAAACCAAAACACTGAAAGGCATTGAAATGATCTGTAGAGCTGAGGAAACTGCAGATTAGGGTGAGAGTTCTCTTAGAGTTTTCACTCTGAGTGACACTCACATGACAGTCATTTGACCCATTACTAATAAAGATTTGTGTTGTTCTGAATATTGAATTTTCCATTACACCCTGTTACTCGGTGACTTACAATCCATCCACCTCCATCCGTGCTCATGTCGCAGTAGACCTGGAGGGGCTGACTTTCATCTCCTCCCAGATAGATGGTGTACAGACCTGAAGAGGTGTCGCCATTCAGCAGGGCCTGGGAGCAGTCTCTGGGGTGTCTGTACAGCACACCAGCTACACACACACAGTGAGGATAAAGTGGACCAGACAGACTCTGGGTGCATCTCAAATCACCTTCTACACATGTACGTACATTTTTCTCTCAAATGCCTACTACACAAATGACAATGCAGTAGGCACTGCAGCCGCTCCACGGTCTAGTGAGCACAACTTTGGACGTGCTACTAGGTTAATTCTTAATAATAATAGCAGAGCTGTCACTTCTCACTTACAAGTGTTATAGAAGGTAAAATCTTTGGTGACAGAGCCCTTAATCCTAAGCGTTTTATGTGAACCACCACATCATACATCTTATCACGTGTAGGTTACTGAATGTGATAATACGTGCACAATCAAGAGTAACACGGCTACAGCCAGGCCTGCTAATTAGAGCGGTGGAAATCTCTAAATTAGCATTACTTGGACAGACAAGTAGGTAATTTCAGATGCACCCTCTGTAACAAGGGAAAGTAGATAACGTATGGGAAACAATGTTTTTTGTGTAAGTACATGACATAAAGTGCTTGGTCTTTTTTTATGTTAACAGACATTTAACACTGCCCATGCAGAGACTAAAACCAGTGGTGAATTGCGTATACTCACAGTTAAAGTCTGTGAGTCTGTCAGTCCTGGGTTAGCTTGCTTATTCCCCTGATGTGTCTTTAAACATTTTTGAACAGCAACAGGGATCTGGGTCACAGACAAATAAGCTGATCCAGGACTGGCAGATTGACAGACATTAGCCGTGAATAGAAGCAAATCAGTGTTAGGTTTTGTCTCTGTATGGGGAGTGTAGTGTATTGGTTTAAGTTACATGTTCATATGAATTATGTAATAGAATAGAGTGTTCATGTGAGCTGGACAATGAGCTTATGTAATTTGGCCAAACTGTTTCCTGTTTTTGTGTACATCTCAGGGGGTTGTCTCCTAAAGCTGGAGACAGGAAGCTAAGTCCGGAAATTGACGTAACCACCGGAGAAAGCTGTGGATAAAAACAGTAAGGCTGAAAGATGTAGGGGAAGAGATAATGCTACTGTGACAGTGAAGTGTGTGCACTTTCGGACCCAGGCCTGGGTGGGGGAAATGGACTCTGGACTGACTGGACCCCTGACCAAGACTGACTGACTCTGTGACAATCTTCTTATTTAATACTTTATCTATTCCATTGCAGGAGGAGTGGTTCTGTTCTCTGTTCCCTAACTACCAGATTGCCTATCTAACTACTACACCCTGGTCAGAACAGTTGTAATATTAAATGATTATTTAAACTGGGATGATTTGTCTGAAGTAAGTTAGTTCATATCAGATCATAACAACTACAGATTTTACCTTGGCTACTACAGTACAAAATGGCCAACCTTATCCTTTAAGTCTGCGTATTTAAGGGTGTGAAAGTGCATCTATTTGCGGGCGGATGCGTATACACCCCCCTTTGTGTGTGTGTGTGTGTGTTTGAATCAAGATATGAGGTATCTGCAAGCTGCAGCCACAGTTTAGCAAAAGCTATAGTGTTTACTATAAATGCTACTAGTCTTGTTCCCTGTAGATTATTCCATCATTTAGGACATATACAGATGAATAAGAATCATATTATGGTGCACTTGTCTTCATACTGTAATGTGGACAGTATTAAAAATACATTTACTGATGATGGTAGAAATATGTTTGATACAACAGAAATGCAGACTGCCAGGGGTGAAGCCTGCTCACTGTGTGTATACGAATCTACTCACTGGTGGTGAAGACAGTAGTGATGACTCGGCTTCTCTTGGGACCAGCGATGGCCTGCAGCTTGACTGAATATTCTGTGGAGGCGCTGAGCTGAGCCATGTTGTATGACACAGCAGTGGGACTCAGGACCACCTCCTGTGGGGAAAAAAAATCAAGTTCATATTTATGTGCCCCTGTGCCGATGATATCTGCAGCCAGAGGGTTGCCTGTATGTTAATATGGCCATGTCCGTATGATTCTTGTGAACACAATATGTCAGGAAGGCCTTGGGGGGAATTGTTCAAGTTTAGCACAAGTATCACTTGGACTCAAAGATGAACTGATCAGACTTTGTTGGCCAAAGGTCACTGTCACTTCACGTCCACCCCATTGTTGTGAACATGATATCTCTGGAACAGCTTAAGGGAATTTCTTTTAATTTGACAGAGCTGTCCACTTGGACTCAAAGGTGGTCAACGGTCAAAGTCAGTGACCTCACTTCTGTCCTGTACCCATGAATTTGACTGGTTGATGGAGGCATACAGCTGCAAAGTCACCATTCTAGCTTCATATATGTAATGTACTACTGACCAGTTAGACTAGTATCAGTGAAGCTCTGGGTTCTACCCACCCGGATGGTGCCGTCTGCAGACGTGAAGCTGAGGATGTATCCAGTGATGTCAGCGCGAGGTGGCTTCCAGGTCAACAGAGCGTTCTCTGTCTGGATATTACTGGCTACCAGATCCTGAGGGGCATCCACATCTACACAATAGACAATAAATGGAGATATCAAATCTGAGGTTCAGGAGCGGGACCTGCCTGACAGACCTCTTTCTCCTCAATAGTATTAATACCACCCATTACTGTCATCATCTGCTTCTGCTTTTCATAAGTTTATCTTATGAACAGTTTATCTAGAGTGCAGGATTCTTTTATTAATTAGCTCCTCCTTTTGATTATGTCAGATTCCACCATCATGCCCTTCTGTCTCAGATTAAAATACAGTGGGATTTACAATGAACAGTACACTCTACTGCTAGATTACTACTTTAACTGTACTATAGTCTCAATCAATAAAGGTAATAACTGAGTTGCCAGGAAAGAAACATGCCAAGGCTTAGCCAGCTCACCAGTGGTAAACTCAGTTGTAGTGGCTGTGCTCTTGGACAAGTCCCTCACAGCATATACTTTCACAGTGTAGTGTGTTGCCGGCATCAGGGAGCTCATCTCAAACTCCACCACGTTTCCTGACACACGCTCCATCACAGGAGCCACTGGAATGACACAGACAGGGAAGCCTTCAGGTAGCTCATCAAGGACAAATATACAGGATAAAAGGAAGCAAATGTGGTTTAGACTGGTGTGTCAGAGAGATGTCTTTTTATTAAAATTGAATATTGACATGTTAGTCATGCTGTCTCACTAAAGGTTCCTCTGGGAACTTCTGGGAAAACAGATTGTGTATCATTGCACATCTGAAGTAAATTGTTGCTGGAAAAAAGTAAACAATGGATTGAGAAGGAACCAACCATTTAGGAGATAATACTTCCTCCATTTTTTTAATGTGCAAAATGTGTTTATCCATATATTTGCAGGTTCATATAAACTACATACCTGAGTCTGCACTGTAGGTGATGACGTAGCCGTCTACAGTAGCGATGGTGGGCTGCCAGAGCAGCAGAGCTTCAGTGTCTGTGATGTTGACAGCAGTCAGCCCACGAGGCTTATCCAGAGCTGTAACACATACACATAAACACGCACAGTCACTGTGGACAAAATAGCTAGACTTAAATATCTTCCTGTAAACAGAGCTATTGTGTTGGGTTGGGATGGAAAGAAGTGAAACCTCTGCATCTTTAAGCATGCAACTGCTTGAACGCTAATTGCTTTATTTAATAAGAACACTTGAATAAAATATTGCTATTGATTTCCTTTAGCTAAGTGGTTGCTTATATTACATCTACTATATTTTGCCTTGAGACAGTGTGTGTGCTCTCCATGAGCTAAACTGTACCTGTGGTGACACTGTCAGATCCAGGCTTGCTCTCCCTTTGACCCTTGATGGCAACAACAGTGACCTCATAGATGACCCCAGGTGTCAGGTTGGGCAGCACAGTCTGAGGCTCAGAGCCATCTACTATCAGTGTCTTAGCATTACCTGGGAGTGAAACCAGCACATGGAAATGAAAGTCTCCTAAATGACATTACTAGCAGATATCCATCAATGTCGGCATGTTTTGCAGTTGTACTGTAATAAAACCACTGTTTGTTTGTTTTTTATCAAGCCAGGAAAAAGTTAATGATAATGTTACGACTGTTTTTGCATGATCCTCTGAAGAATATTTTCATTTTCTCTTCACCTTTCACTCCCTCGTTAATACCTACAGCTAGTCACTAGGGGGCAGAATCTGCTTGTCATTGGAGATGATGGTGGAGGATTGAACCAATTGACGGAGCAATGACAGAGCAGTGAGACTTCATAGTTGCTATAGCATCATTAATATATTGAACACTGAGCTGATTGCAAAATTGCTTCCACTCTGTTTATTTGAAAAGTAAGTATTCAGTCTTAAAATCAATTTTTCTTGATGTAAGCAGAGCTGTAGTTGAGGGTAAAACTACTAAATCTCTGTCTGTTTAGGCCTAAATGTTGTTAATGCATACTCTTCTTTTCTTTCCTTCCTTTTTGAAGCTTTACAGTGTATTTCATCAATTCCTTGATTAAAGCGACATAACTGACATTCACACGTGGACTCTAACCTTCATGAGCAGGCACATAAGTGACTTTGTAGCTGTCTACCCGAGCTCTCGGAACTGCCCAGTGAACGGTGGCGGACGTATCTGTGACATCAGAGAAGCGAATGCCCTTGGGTGAGCCCAGGTCTGTCACAAACAAGACAGAAACAGCAGGTGGGGGTAAAAACAGACAAAATAATAGTCAGTAGTCCATATCTGTACAACCCCATAGCAAGGTGGGGAATAGAAAACAAAATATACACTATATATGTCACTAAAATGAATAAATGCACAGTATAGTCATATTATAGCAGGTAATTTATGCTTTAGAATTAAGCAGTGGACAAAAAAAGACACAGACATATTCTGTTATTGTAGCCAGGGCAGATCCACCAGTGAAAGGCACCCATTTTAGGTAACGGAGCAAAAGAGAGTGTGTGTAAGAGAGTGAGGTAAACAGACAAAGGGGGCCTGGGGAGCCCCGGGCTCACAGAGAAACCCTTCCCCAGCCAACAGCAAGCCACGGTATCTTATTTGACAGACCTGAGGAGATTAACTTGCCCCCATTTCAAGGAAACACAAAAGTGAAACATGTACCGAATAACCCAAAAGTAAAGCCTTACCCCCAGGCCCAGAGAGGACAGGGGACACAGCCACAGACACCCGTTCTATGTGACTCAGACAACCCCCCCCACTCCTCTTTCCGGCTCCACCCCACCTCCTTTACAATGAGAGACATTGACACATGGGCCCAGGCAGTCAAAGACGTTTGGCAGAGGACTGAACAGAGACGACACAACGAACGGCGCAGAGTAAAAGGCTAAGTAAATGTCCTGAGTGGGGGTCGACTGATGTGAGCTTTTAAAGGCCTTTTCTGATAGATTTGGGTTGAAGCTGCTATACTAATATGCACTTTTTGTCAGAATTTAGCATCATATTTTTTTTTTTTTTTTTAAATCCAGAAACAACATTTAGATCATCATAGGATACTTAAAATGCAATTTAAATGCAACAATAATTATGCATCATCGATATAGCTGCCTTGTATCCATCATATCAGACTGGCCAAGACCCATTTTAATAGAAGGGTAACATACAGTATGTGTAATACATAAGCAATCAGCAGCCTGTGGTCCACCTGACCCCAGGGTGTGTGCTCTCAACTACCGCTGTAGGCGTGTGATGAAAGGCCTGGAACTACTGAGGAGTAACGACAGACAGGTCGAAACACAAATCAGTCTGACACATTAGTGCTGACACGAGGCACACAGTGTAGCTGCAGCTGGTCAACATCCAAAAAGTCAGGTAAAAGAAAAGAAAGGAAAGATGTTTCATTTTGTCAGATTGCAACATTAAGTGCCTTGAACAAATAACCTGAAACCTTGCTACCAGATTAGTTGAGAAAAGATATGTTACATACAGTTAATGGACATGTTAGAACACAGGTATTAATGATTTTTCATGCAAAACTGACAACACTGCCTGTGCTGATAAGCCCAGTCCAGAGTATCAGTTCACTAATCTGATTTCTCATGTCCATCCTTTCCTTTGTACCTGTTTTCACTCTCTCGGTTACAGACTTGGAGTTTCTTCACAAAATAAGCCCATAGATTTAAATTTTGTGCTCGGTGTCCTCTGAGAGATCTGGTATTGCTGTGTTTCGCTCCTCTCCACCCAGCACCAGCTCTATAGCTTGCCCTGGGCCCTCAACCGGGCTGACCATTATGTCGAAGGTATCCTCTTCAGCCATCCAGGCTAGCCTAAAGCTGCAGGGGGTGACGTCAGAGACCAAGAGAGCCTGCACCACCGCTTCAGCCTCTGAATGACAGGGAAAATCCATTTTTCTCCTCTGTTGAACATAAGAGTCTTTTGACAGCTGAGGAACATGGCAGTGAAAGACAGTGTATCATGTCTATGTGCAAATGGAAGCATTGATTATAAGGAAGCTCAGCATCAGTCAACAAAGAAGGAGCAGAAAGAGAAGAACAGAGTTTTACCACATTCTGGCTAAAAACACAGAAGGAAGAAATAAACTTGAGGTAACAAGGGGTATGTTATGAGTTAATATGCAGAGGGTTTTATTATAGGTGTAGTTAACTGACCTATCACAGTCACTGTGGTCAGTAAGATGGAAACTGATTTAGTAAAGACTGTGACTGTGACTAGAATTACTTTTCAGATAATTTCACTCTTGAAAGGAAGCATTTTGAAATTGACACCTAAGACATTCTGGAGATGAGGGCATGACTGGTTTTTCATTAGCATTAGTTTGTCAGTTAGCAAGTCAGCAGAGGCAACACAAATAAAGTACTGTGATAAAACGGTGCAGAGCAAAACTAATCTGTACACCTTTACAAAAATATTAGTGCCTGAAGATTGCTAAGCTAACACATAGTTCATTCATAAGATACTAGCACAATACTCGAAAACAGGAGATTAAAAATCTAGGTAGTGCTGCACAGCTAAGGTCAATGCTGTGTGGTTTTCCTGAAAATGGCAAAATGGTTTGCTATTGGTCAAAGGCACAAATTTGTGGGTTAAAGTTGAACTCAGTGATAAATATTTGCATGGACTTACTTTGTCCTTTATCACAGTCCATGGGGTTGATGCTGGTGTGTTCAATCCTGTAACCGTTTTTTACAATTAGATATACTGACATACACTGAACTGCACTTGAAATTTTCACCTTTACTGGCCAAGTATGTCACACACAAGGAATTTGTTTCCGGTACAGAACCGAGGCAGCCATCTGCGGCACCAACTCACACCAATGGCTCTAACCATCAGGGACAACTTTGGGGTTCAGTGTCTTGCCCAAGGACACTTTGACATGTAGATTGCAGGCACAGAGAGTCGAACCTTCAACCCTCCGGTTGGGAGATGACCACTCTACCCACTGTCACCCCGTTATTCAGATGCATTCAGATTAGATTTTTGGACAATGCAACTGCCCTGGTCTGCTCTCATTTCTGTGCAGTTCCTAGGAATTTTGAAGTAAGAGGCGTTGTCAAACTGCATCTCCTTCTTTCAGATTAGTGCTCAAATGCAGTACACTGCAGATATCTAAATATGCATACAGATGGAAGTGTGTGCATTTAGTGCTGTAAAAGCTGGTAGTTAATTAGTCATTAGCAGCAGCGCCAGCTAATAATGGCAGTGATAGGAATAGAGATTGAGAGACAGCAGGATCCTTCAACTGCTGGAGAAAAAGCTCTGTTTCTCCATAGGTTGAGATCGCTGCAACTGATTTAGCCAGAGAAACCTCCGGTGGGCAACACAGATGTATACACATAAGTGGGCTCGGGAAAGCCTCAGTAAACACCACACCAAATGTGAGGGTCTCAGGGGTACTTGAACTAGCCTGAAACCCCCTTTTTTGTAAGGGAAAACACATGAGGCATTTGTTGTGAGAAGAAGGGGTGGAAAGGAGAAGCAGAGCGGACAAATCCCAGGGAGCTGTCACTCTTCATTAGCCACCAGGCGGCTTTAGCTGGTCAGTGGAAGAGAGGGGAGAGCCACATCCATCAGCTAACATGTACTTGCTTGCTACTGATTGTACCCTCTTACCACTACCACTGCTACCCTTTTACCCCATATCCATCCACACCCCCCCAAGACCTAAGAGAACACAATCCCCACTCATAAAAGGAAGCCTGTTATTGGAAGAGGTACATATCAGCACCAGCTTACCAGCTGAAGAGGGTCTCTTCGAGCAGAACCCCAAAAATTGGTTCCAGTGTCGTGTGATAACTTTACGAGGACAGCTTGTGGTATGATTCACAACTGAGCTGAGCTTGTTCTGGATGCTGTCCACATCTTTTTGTGGTTCCACCAGTCATTGGTTGTATAAAACTCCCTCTTCTTTAATC